AGATCCGATTGCGGCATTTTCATTCTAGCGTTTCCCACATCGTCCGGCGACAGGGATGACTCATCAGAGACGATTCCCTCGTCGATGTAGTCGTCGGTCTTCGCTCTTGCGGATCGGATAGATATGAAATGTCCGAAGTTCAGGAACTCTACTCATGAGGGATTGTCCCTCACTGTGGTCGGACTTTTGGTCAATCTCCTCGTTTGAACATGGCTTGTGTCCAAGACGTTTGTTGCGATGGAACGATACCACAACAAAAGACCATTGTCACTCCTCCAAGTCCATCCTGATCAAGCTCTAGACTAATACGATTTTCTTTCGATCCTCATAGAGTGCGAGGAAGAAGGAAGGAATAGTCAGTGCACTTCCCGCGACATTTGCGGGATAGCCCTCGCAGGTAGGTTCAACGATAGGCTCGAATTTCGGTATATATGATCTAAGAATGTAGAGGAGATGAAGAATCCGGATCAATTGGGGGTTCTACAAGAGCTGAGCTCGTGAAAATTCACTGAGCGCCCCGCTCTCTATCAGTCGAGCTCTGCCGGAATCCTTCTCTCCGCCAGCTCGAGCCCCCCTCAGGATTTTCGTCTCGAAACCTGTATCCAATATACGAATACCAGCCGTCCCCTCTCTCTTGGACTCTCTCGTTCGCACCCCTCGAGAATTCGGAATTCCTATTTCAATTGGCCCCATTTCGAGATTTCATCTCCCTCTCTCATCCTCAGGAGGTGGCGATGTCAAAGCGTATATAATGCAGTCCAGCATAGAAAATATTCCAACCGGGGCAGACAATACCACGTTATTCAGGAGATTTGACAGCTCCGTCCATTCCCCTAGGAAGTCTATTGCGAGAGAGAGAGGGGTTCCATCCAGTCTATCTTCCCGATCAATGATGTTCAGATTCGGCAATTTGTGTCTGTGCTTCATTTGGATAAACGTGTTCGCGTGCCTCGCTGGATCGCTCGGAGAACCTCTCTTCGGGGAATTCGGAAGACGCCCGGGACCGTGGAATCCGGACGTAGTCATTCCTCATCGGGATTACCTCAGACCTCGGATCCCCAGTAAAGGTTTCTGGAAGTTCCCGCATGAGGAATAAGGGGCTGTTCTGGCGTGGCTCCAGACACAGTGGGTTAGCTGCGAGTCCTCACTACGATTTTCTCCTCAGGTGGAAAACTTGATTATGAGAAGTCCGGAGCCGTCGACAACAACAACAACCTCAGGCTTGCTGACATAGAAGAAGGACTGGGCCTGGATAGGGATCGGAAACAAGATTCCGGGATACTGAAGCGATTCCTGAACGCCGCGCGTTACGCCATCTGTAAGTCGAAGGCGGCAGATATATATTCTAGCTAGTCGGTCGAGGATGAAGAGAAGATGCCAACGAGGTGGGGACGAGCTCACGACAACGAAAGCATCTACATAGATCTCGCATCGACCCCTACTAGCTTTCCTCGGTTTCGGCTCCACCGAGCTCTCCCCAAACCGCTGTCCAAATTACCTGGATTTTTAAGCCGCGCCGATTCCCCCCGAAAGACTGCGCTAAAGCTCATCGCGATTCGTTTCAGCTTTCCCCAAGACATGCGAGTACGACAACGAGACGCATCCTTGCGGATTCGGTGCCTCTTGTTGGGTAGACGGGAAGAGTCCCTTGAACCTTTGCGGCGGCGGACTTGTATGGGCCTGCTGCGTTCCGCTAATAATTGCACCCGGTGTTCCGAGGGGCGAGATTCTGCCCGCGGATACTCGTGAGTATTTTGGGACTTTACATCACGGATCCGTCACTGAACTTCATGAAGGACCTGTCACTCACTGTGGTCGGACTCTTGGTCACTCTCCTCGTTTGAACATGGCCTGTTTCCAAGACATTTGTTGCGATGGAACGATACCACAACAAAAAGCACTCCTCCAAGCCCCCCGACGTTCAAGCTCTAGACTCTAGACTAATACGATTATTTTCGATCCTCGTAGCGTGCGGTAAGAAACATCTATTCCGAGGGAGAATAATCGGTGGACATCCCGCGACGTTCGCGGAACAGCCCTGGCAGGTAGGTTGAGCGATAGGCTCGAATATCGGTATATATGATCTGAGAATGAAGAGGAAATGAAGGAACCGGATCAATTAAAGATTCTAAAAGAGCTGTGTTCGAAAAAATTCCTCATCTCCGCGTTCGCAGGTGGCTTTGATGAAGCGCACTTTCTATGGTCACACTTTGCAATGCGGGGGCAGTCTCATAAACAAGAAGTTCATCCTGACCGCAGCGCACTGTGTTTACAGGTGAGTTACCGATCGCCACGATCCGCAACTTCGGTCATGTCTCGATCCCCAGTGGGACGATTATTCAGTTTCAATCGTATCTATCTTGCAGGAGAGACGCGTCTCTCATGAGAGTGAGACTCGGAGAACTCAATCTGGATGACTTCTCAGAACCGTATGTGCACGAAGAATATCTGATCAAGAGGATCATAATCCATGAGAACTACGACCACACGAGTTTTTACAACGACATCGCTCTTCTCGAAATGACGGAACGCGTTCGGTTCAGAAGACATATTATCCCTATATGTCTGCCGCAGAGCGGTGACACTTTCGTCGACAAGACGGTGACGGTCGCTGGATGGGGCAGCGTGCAATTCCCCTCAAGGAAGTCCTCGCCCATCCTACGGAAAGTTGATCTTCGAGTTCTGGACACGGATATCTGCCGCCGTTGGTACTCGTCTTACCACGGGGCCTCAAGACTCGATGAATCAACGTTGTGCGCCGGTTATAAGGCCGGAGGGAAAGACACATGTCAAGGCGATTCCGGGGGTCCTCTGTGGTCGGAAGAAAGCGGTTGGGCCCAGCTGATAGGAATCGTTTCTTGGGGCGTTCAGTGTGGTATGCCGAGAAAGCCGGGAGTATACACGAGGGTTACCAATTACCTGGATTGGATAGGCGGCCACTTAGAGGATCAGAGCCAGAGAAATAGATCATGTTGAGATCCAGACTGTCTGACGAGAATATTGAAATTTTTATTCTAGCGACGCTTGAATGTCAAAGTTGTTGTTTAGATCTATGCCTTTATTGATCCCGGATAGAATTTGCCCGCGAGCTCAGGGTTCGTGAATCGAAGCGGCACGGCGTTGCCTTCTGTATATCAAATGAACCCGCTGGGGAGGGGCGGGGTGGGGGGGAACACCCTGCTCTGATGCGAATAAACCATACGATAAAATAAGTGTAGGAATGTAGGATGAACTCCGGACCGATTCTGCTATAGAATCTAACTAATAAGTATAAAGAGTCTTGACGCAAGGTATGAGTATTTTTCTTTGCGAAGTTTACAATGAGTGGGCAGCCCTCGCGAGCGTTTCTGGCAGCGTGTGCAGATGAAACGAATCGCGCCACAGAACTATAGCGCACCTCGGGTCCTTGATGGCGGGGGACTACAGGGAAATTTCTAGTCGATGGACCTGGATTCTCACCGAACTTGTTACAAGGGTCCGTTCGAGATTTTGGGACCCATCCACCGAAAGGAGCAGTCGGGATCAGCCAATGCATAGAGCCACGGACCATGTTCCCTGAACTCAGCGCGTTATGCCATGTGTGAGTTTTGGAGTGGAATTCCACTCGAGAGACACGTTGTCAGGCGAAGAGTACTCGGCACCGCAATGCGCTCTGTATTCGAATGCTGGATGCTCCAAGAAAATTTCTCCGAACGATTCAATGATATCGAAGAATCAGCCTGCTCCGAATCTTTGGAATTTCGCTCGTCTGTCTCGGGGCCGCAGAATCCGGCCGACGGTCAGCTCAGACGATCGATTGAGAGGGATCATTCACAACATTCGTTTTTCGTCAGCTTCCCTTGGGGGAGGCGAGCATGCAGGTAATTACTAGAGTGTGCTCTCGAATGACCTGTTGGACAGGAGGCGACAGCCCCGGGAATCGTCGCGGCGGAAGTCGTCTTGGATACCCGATGGAGGCCTCGAAGGCCCGGGGCTCATGAATCCAGGTTGGAGACCCCATTTCCATACAGTCGAGCAGTAGCCATCGAGGGAAAAGTCCCCAACCCGCTTCTCAGCCACACTGACGAATGCGGCAAAACCTGAGTAAACGAAAGAAGAGTCGTCGGCGAAGCTCTCGCCAACTTTTAGGAGTATTCCCGTTAGCTACGAAGGATGTCCAATTCAGGCTACCTGAAATCTCGAAACAAGAGCCACTGGATCCTCGGAAACTCTCCGTGCTCCCCTCCGTCAGACTCTTGAATCCAGAATGAACTTCCCCACCGATTCCCATCTTGGCGGCTCACGGAGCCGCAGACTGAGCCTTCCGCGAAAGTCCAGGTTTGCGAGATTTTCGGGTGCCTGGAGTTCTTCTTTTTTTAGATTCGAGGAGCGAGTGAGTCCTTTAAGCGAGAGGACAATCGACGGGTCGAGGGATGGCGAGAGGAGGCTTGATGTCCGTCGTCAGGGAGAGACCTTCGAACGATAGAGGAAAGATGGAGGAAATGGTCGGGATCGTATCCTGAGAAAGCTTAGCTGACAAAAATCATTCCGTTATTGAGCTCAACTTCCTCTTCCTTCGACGGCTCTCCCGGGGTCGGTAGCACACATCACTTCTCTTTCTCCTTTGTGCTGCATGATAATAATATAGGTCGTGTCGAATATCATCGGAAGAGTTCAACATTTTAGAGGACTCCGTTCAGTCCGTGCGTCGCCCCGATGACTCATGCCTGCCTTCCTGCTTCCCTTTCTGATCGACTTTAAACGACGTAGGTGTCGTCTAACGCTGGTGACCCACGATGACTGCCTCCGAGCACCAGGTTGCAGAAATTCTCGCCGCGTTCTCTCTATCCGCGTTTTGTATGCAAAAAAACTCCGTCACTAGGAGATCTCTCCTGAACCTGATCGTAAAATGAAACTCCTCGCGGGTTCGAGGGCGATTCGGGATACACTGATGGAGCCGCTGATGTGACGACAGAAGCGTTCCGCTCAGGATATGTATCAGATGATCCCCACGTTCCGCGTCACGAATTCTTCCACGGCATCGTGTCTGGAGAGTTCTGGATTCGGACACGCTCTGAGTCGGGTCTGTGTTTTCTCGATCTCTCAAGTCGCGTCATTGAACTCGACTTGATGTTCACGCGCACACGACGGCGCGACGGAGCCGAATATTCATTCGAAGCGACTTCCGCAAAAATCTCGCTGAGCTCGGATTCTCCAATCAGACTTATGAGGAGTAAACCGCGGGAAATGAAGCGAGCGAGGCGACAGGGCCGTACGAGCTAGCGGAAGGCGGTAACAGGAACCGAGAAGGTCAGCGATTCGAATTTCATTCGGTTTTCCCGAGACATCCCGCCGCAAAATCGGCAACTTGAACGTACCCGGTGGAGCTTCTCAGATTTCGAACTGTTTCAGAGACCTCCTGAGGGATCGCTATCCTAATCGTATTACGGCTCGCGCGGGAGCATCGAGTTTTTCGATCTATTGATCCGTACAACGCCAGCTCTCGCGACTCGCGCGGTGATACACCGACCGGGAATGCGGCGCGCACCGCCGAACGGCCGGCGAACACTCTACGAACCATCACATCGGACCTCGACCGGAGTTTGAGGGCGAGGAGGCATCGATCGAGAACATTGACGTTTGTGAACGGTCCACTAGTTCTCCGGATACGGGGTGCGCGAGACAGGAGATTGACCAACGAGAGATATAACGTCGAGTTCACGTGATATCCTGAGCTCCCGAAAATAATTTACAGTTCTAATTGAACGACGATATCGATTCTGTGGAATCGAGGTCTCCAGGGAGACTGAAATTACCTATAGCGAGACATTCGGGAGATTTTCCTCGAGCGGATCGCTCCCGACCCGAGGGAGATTTCGTCAGTCGTCCGGAATCCTCGCTCGACTCGAAACAAGCGGTTGGCCCGAATTCGCTCTGCGATCCGACAGACATTTCCGCGAGGGCTCTTCAGCTTCCGCCGCTCTCTCATGGAGGAGAGATCTCGGTATGATGATGACGATGCGGTCTCGGACCATGGGTGCGCACAGCTCCAAGGCTCAACTCTCGCCGCATCGTTCCGGGACACTTGACCTTGGAAAGTTCTCAGACAGAGGCTTCTTGGTGGTTTGTGGACAAACGACTCCCTCGGAAGGGGACTTGACATCTGGCCGGCCGTATGTCATATTATTCGTATCTAGATCTCATTGGTTCCCGGGACCCGAATGCACACCGAGCTCTCTCGTCAGTCAGCGACGCCATCGATGAAGAATGAATGTTTGATCAGCGCGTTGCGGGCGTGTGTAACGAGCGGCTTCGTCATCACGCGTTGGAGGAATTCCTCACCAGGTGTGTCGTCTTATGAAATATTCCAGCGACGCACGGCCAGACAGAGCATAGCCGCCGCGCCGTCTTCGGGGGTTAGAGTCCCAGAGCTAGAATCGGCTACGAACGAGTGCCGTTCGCAATGTTCTTCACATGAAATGAGCGCTTCTCCCCATCGGCTACCAGCCAGTAATTGTGGGAATGTGCCATCAGAGCAAAGAAAACGCGAGCCCGCTACCGGCGTTACGACTAGAAAGCTATAATTCTTTGAGATAGGTGTCTCCCGCGGCGCGGGCAGCCGTGGCGGAGAATATTCACTCTGTGTCGCTAATGCGCAAATTAGTGCGTACGAACGAAGTTAATGAAACTGCAAACGAAAGGAGCTCTTCATCCTCACGGACACATCCGGGCGAGGGAGCAAATCATATGTGTCGTGCACGCTCGGAGGCTCTTTTCGAACACGGAACGAGGGCAAGCAACAGAGAACGAAATTCCGCCAAAGGAAATATTCCCCGTCGAGATCCGAATGATTCACCGAGCACATGAATATGGTCGGGAGGAGGACCTCAGGATGGAATCCGAAGCTCTTCTGCGAGCCTTTCGAAGGCCCAGCGGGTTCTCAGACGAAGAAAAGAGAAAAAATGGTTTTGGGGTTGGCGGCGGCGACGCCATTCTCTAAACGAGGACAACAGAGCGGAGCGCAAGCTCGGTTGGCTTCCCGTAGGCTGCGAAGCCTGAATTCCGACTTCCCTTCTATAGCGATAAGATTAGACCAAGTGGGGCTGCTGCTGCTGCTGCTTTCACGCTATGTTGGATTTTCTCCTTGCTCGTCAGGACTGAAAGGATTGCCACAGTCGGCTTTGGCGAAGGCTTCAAGAGAAGCTTACTCCATTTATCTTCATCATCGTAGTTGATACGCTCCGCTCCAGAACGCAGAACGAATTCGCTAGACCATGTTCAGCTATGGTTGCTCTGCTGGAGCATCGGGTCTCGTGTGCTACGGGAGACGGGGAGCGATATGAACCTTTTCGAGTGGAATCAAGCAGGTACTGACACAGCACTTGACTTTAACGACTTCCATCGGAGTAGGCCCGCCGAACGACGAGTGGAGAGCTTAAGAGACTTCGACTCCCGGCCCCGAAAATACCGCGATTTGAAAACGGGTTTCGGGTCGAGATTCCGGGCGACGAGCTCCGAGCTTTTTGTCCCCCGATCCCAGCTGAACTCCGGGAAAATGAGAGCGAAAAAAGAGTACCAGCGGCAGATGACGACATTTGACGACGCCGAGTCTAAGAATTAGTAAATAATGCATTCTGCTCGGCGGAGACGCCCTGGCGGCGGAGACGCCGGATGAAGAAATTAATCTCGGAAGACTCGGAAAAATGAATTCGGAATGAATCGCACGCAGAGCTGTTGGTTTGAACCGGGGGACTGTCACGGAATCGACTTGCTGAGACGGTTGCGTGGCGTTCATCGACTGGGACTCCGGATAATTTCCGAATATCCGATTCGGCGTTTATTTTCGGCTCTGGAGATCTTCCGAAGTCTCTCGAGCCTTGACAAGTACCAACTCGATTAAGGTGTGGAGTCTCGATGGAGATCAGAAATCTGAGAACACGCAACACGAGCACTTTCCGTGAACGAGCGAGGGAAAACCAATTCGCGATTCCGGTGAT